TGGCCCCCCCTGGCTGGCCCAGGCCAGGGGACTCAGGCCACGGAGCTAGGGCGAAGGGGCTGTTGAACTGTGGTGTGGATGTTGGGGCTTGGGCTTAGCACCCAGAGCTGGGCTTGGGCCCGAGCCTAGGCCAAGTGTGTACATGACAGTTAAACCCTTGGCCCAAGCCCTGCGAGCCTGAGTCAGCTGTCGTGGACCAGCCGAGGGCATCGAACCGCAGCTGAGACATACGCTCTGAAGGGGTCCCCTCGGATTAATGCTGGAGCTCTTCTCCTGTGCATGTGGAAAGTCCAGGCTGGTTCCTGCCCATGGCCTCAAGGCAGCCTGATTTGCTCAGTGGCCTCTTTTTGTAAAGCCATTGAAATGACAACATCAGTGTTGGGTGCACCCTGTTCCAAGGAAAACCAAGGGCTTTGGGAGAAAATAGGTCACATGCTCTTTGTCCATGCCACGTGATTCCCATCCTGAGGCCAATGAGGTTTAGAGCCCTCTGTGCTACAGAACAAAATATCTCTGTAATTTTTTTCCCTTCGCATTTTTCAGCTTTCCCCGACGTGAAAGGGGTGACCATCTGTCGGAAACCCGCATCAGCCCCGATCATTCGAAAGCAGCTGGGTTCTGGAGGTAAGAAGATTTAAAAGATCATTTTGGTGGAAAACTCACTGCTGTTAAATAACTTCTCTTACAAATAGAAATTAGTGGGCAGCACGAAATATAAAGCGCGTTTCCTATGCCAAATGGGACAATAGAGCTTGGAAGTCTTTTAAGAGGCTTCTTAAGTGAACCTCTTAAGAAGATTCCTTTAGAGATGTTTAAAAACCTATAAGAAGAGAGACATAGTAGTATAGATTTTCAAATGGTTATCGTTTTAAAGAAAACGAAACGGATAGAAAATCGGCTGTTTGAGCAATTTAGATAACTTAATAGCTACTCTTTTACCCTTTTTAATCACCAAGCTGCATAGTGAAAATAGTAATTGTTTTTCCTTTGCTATGGAGTACAATTTATTTCCATAACCCACTGTTTTAGCAACTATTTTGATATAATAAAGGTAATGCAATAGGGTAAGAAAATAATCCATCCCAAGTGTTACATTAGAAAAGGCTAAATATGCCTATTTTTGTTATAATTTACAGTACAGCCTTTTCTATGCTGTCTTTAATATGGATATATGGAGCAAAACAGCATTGAAAATATTCATATATTGCAGCTGGAAATGGTAAAAAAGAAATGATTTATTCTGGCATGGCAAGCTAATAAAAACCCAAACATGCATGTTGTCTATACAAGAGACTTGTATTGCTTACGAGTTAAAAACCTTTGGTTTGTCATTTGAAACTCATGCAAAAAGTTTTCTGTTATTTACCATCTTACTGTTTTGAAGCTCTCTCTGCAATTCCTACAAGGGAAATATTTAACTTGGTTTTGGAAAAAGGATGCATTTTATTGATAGCATTCTATTTTGCTTCAAGTATGTCACTAACGGGTCTTTTAAGATTAAGTTGTACATTAGATAAATTGCTTCTCATTCCAACATGTTCCTATTACATTTTCTTATGACGAGAAAGTTTGTTTTATGTTAACATTGCAGAAAGTCAAATATGTATTTGTTAACAGTGTTGCATAGATCAATTGTTCAGAAATCCAAAACTATCACCCTGAATTCCAGAGATTTTTAGACAACCGCTTGCAGAAATATTTTTGCTTTAGTCCAAATTTGCTACAGAGCATCATTTACTTTTAACATGAAACGGAATCCGATACCATGTTCTGTCACTCAGCAGTTGTGTGAAAGTAACTCGGAAACAATGGCTCTTCAGCACGGCAACTAAGATAAAATGGAGATCGATGATCCTATAGACAGGTGTATCGGAGATGGACATCTCCAAATTGAAAAATCCTGAAACATTGTAGCTTGGGGAAAATATTTTGTGCTGCATTTATAACTACACGATTTCAATGTTGGGTGGGAGGTTTTTTTGTTTTTAAGTTCCAAATCTCAGACTTTCCCCCCTTTTAGGAATTTTCCTGTTCTGAACATGGTTAGTGTTCTGTGATTGAAAACTAAATGTTAATGTCTTTGTCCTGAATGTTATGAGACACATTTTCCTAATCCAGTTAGATATTTTAAAACGTTAGTTTCATTGTGCGTGTGTCTCATCAAAAGAAAAAAGAAAAAACCCTTTAAAATGGGTTGAAGATTGTTTAAAAGTTGGTATTGGTGGTGGATATGTAGATTCCCTCATGCCCCCATATTTCTGTACCAACAGACTGGTTTTGAAGCACAAAGTGCCACAAAATATGAGCACAATATAATTAATTATACGGAATGTATTTTGAAACTGTGTAAGGGAGTTTGCTGAGAGAAGGTTTCACAAGCCGATAAGTCAGTGCAAAAAGACACAATATTTCTTCAATTGCAAGATGTTTGCTAAGTAAAAACAAGAATTGCTCTGTTATTGGGGGTAATTTATATGTCTCCTGGTGGAGAAATTCAACTACAGCTCTTTCTCTCTCGAGTGATGTAATTTTTGGCTGTGAGGTTAAAAAGATGGCATCCCTTTTCTCGAGAAATAAGGATGCATCAGGATGGAGCTGGTTCTTGTCATGTGCTAGAAAAATATGGCGCCTTTCTGCCCTGGACGATTCCCACGCCCCGTTCATGAGAACTGTTTGCTGACATACCAGGAAATGTGGACGGGCCACTCCTCACTAAAATGTCGCTTTTAGTGCTTTCTCGCTGCTCTGCTGGCTTAGAGTGTCCCCTTGCCCATGTCCCATGCGCCAAAGTATCGCTCTGTACATGGAGCAATACATGATTCACCAAAATGGACATTCTTGTCTTGAAAAGATACGTGTTCTATTCACGCTGGCTGGGTTTAGAACGCCCTTAGTGGATGCAGGTTTTGGTCTTGCTTTCGTGGCGGGACCGCAGGAGGCTGCTTTGAATGCATCAGATGCTGATGTGTTTACTGTCCAGTTCCTTCATAGTTAACGGCACAACGGACTGAGGGTTGTGCCTACTGGCTAACTGGGCGTAGTGTCACCCCAGCATCACGGGGGAAGGGAATAAGGAGGCACACGGGGTATCTCAGAGGCACGTTGCAGCAGGAGGGACTTGAATTTACAGCTTGCCACCTAGACTCCGTTTAAAAGCCAAAAGTAGTTTGATTTCAGCAGATGAGAACTGTATGTATCTGGGGCTCCTACCATGGATGTCACACCTGCTACCTCCTCCTGCCCTGCCTTTCCCCGGCTAGTGAGTAAGAGTTATGCACCTCATTGATTTTTTTAGTTCATAGACCATTTAAAAAAAATCCAGACAAAATTGCTTCAGGCCAACGTGAAGGCTAAATTTTCAAAATGTGTTTGGGGAGCCACAAGGGAGAAAAACAAATTTTGGTTTTGAGCTTTTTCCTCTCTTTGATTTTGTAAAAATCCATCGGAATGGTCATTTCAGAATGGAAAGTAGCTCCTGCCAAGGAGCTGAAACACTTGGTTCTGAAAATGGCAAAGCAAAGCATTCCAGTGATTAGGGACATTTTTTTGGGTTGTTTTTCAACCAAAACAATTTGCAAAATTGGGCACAAATCCGTGAAATGTTTCTGACCCCGTCGGCTTGTTTCACTGGAACAAGCTTTGGAACACGAGTTTCAGCAGCTGCCTAGAGCTCCGTTCCCACCTTTTGCTCTTGGAGCCCGCCGCTCGTCCCCAGACTCGGTTTCTGTTCAGAAACCGGATCAGTAAGGGCAGCCCCAGGCCAGCGCTACAATTCTGGGAGTGCTGCTGAACTCGGGCCGTGCAATCCGATGCCCAGCTCCGCCCCCTCCCCGAGTGGGTCTTGGGCGGTGGGGCGGGAGCAGCGACTGCATTGTGCACGGCCCTTACACCGGTGGGCTCCCTGCCCCCGGCTAAGGGGCAAGGCCGGAGGCCCCAATTCTGCAGGCACTTAACGTTACTTGTGCGAGCACTCCCCTTTCATCCCGAGAGACACCGGGCTGTGGAGCCGGCCGGATTGCAGCCTTTGTAGCTAACAGCCAAGGGCTTGCCCCTGAGACCCCGCCCTGACTCGGACCGGCTCATTCCTGCAGGGTTGCGCCCCGTGCCGAACGCACCGCACTGCCGATTAGCCCCCCGCCCCGTGGGCTGAGCGGGCAGCGTGGGCCCGTTTGCTGGGTGCTACGCGGGGAGCCGATTTTGCACGCAGACTAAGGAGCGACTGGTGTTCGGAGTCGCGGGCCTGCAGGACCCACTGCAGGGAAGAGGAAAGGGGGAGCAAAACCGTCTCTTGATCGTAATCTGGGCTGAGCTTTAGCTGAAGTGAAAACAGATCTGCAGTGACAGTTCTGGAGCCTGCTGTCAGGCTTGGAGCCGCGCATGCACCCTCGGCGGCCGAGATGCATCATGAGAGCCCAGGTCCTGTGTCCTTGGCAGGCTGCCTGCATGGCTCTGCCCGGCCTGCTCTGTGACCTTTGTCGGAAGAATTCAGCATCTCCCCTCTAGAGCTGCAGCGAGTCTGACAACGCCGCCCCGGCCCCAGGAGTCACCGACACCCAGCAACGGGCGGCCCACGCCCGGAGGGGGAGACCCATTTGCTGGCATCCGTGTCCCTTGCACCAGCAGGCACTTGGGCCCAGGGGGCTGGAGCCAGGGACAGAGAGCCGGGGGAGCAGCCCCAAGCACAAAGTAGCTTCCAGATACAAGTTCGCAGTTTGGCTCAACAGCTCCCGGCTCTCCCAGGGCCCACGCTGTCCCGCCCCCCTGGCGCTCGCCCTTGGGAGATGGCTGTCCGTGTGGCACACTCCCTGTCACGCCAGGCCGCAGCAACGGCTGGGGCAGCCGCGTGGCC